CTGTGAACACAAATTAGTTAGCATAAATCAGTTAAATGACGAAAAATTAGGTGTCTGTTTATATGTAACCACTCAGTGTATGTTTCCCTTGCTGAAACAAGTTGTAACATAACACACCTTTTCTTTCTGAGTTCAAAGCTCTTTTTGTTTTTAATATATTTTTATGAACAAATTTAAAATGCACTAAAAGTCTGAATAAGAAAAGTCAATATCTTTATGACTGTGGTTTTCTGCCTTTTTTTTTAATTAAAATCTTAATTTGATGCTCTCTGTATTTAAAAGTTAATTCGTGTAAATTAATAAAACTAAATATTCTGTCTTTTTTGTTTTCTAGTATGCTAACATTTAACAAACTTTATAGTTCAGTTTGTTATGTTATTGGAAAAAAAAGTTATTTTACTGAGCAGGTGCTCTTAGTGGGTTTGTCAACATATTCTAGAGATGAAAGCTATCTTTATTTAACATCCAATCATTTTTTAAAAGAACACAGTTAAAAAATGTTAACCACAACATTCTTTCTTATTGGTCTTCAGACACCATACTCCCAGTTAATTTAATAACAGCTGGTGTTCTTTACATGTTGATCATATATTAAAAATTGTCTAAATAAATACATTGTTTTTTAGTCTTGTTTATGGATCTTACAACAAATTAGATTCAACAATAATATAATCTGATTTTTAAGTCCTGAATCTCTTGTTTATGATAACTTACTTCTAGAATAGCAGTTCAAAAGCTGAGTATTACGAACTCCTATAGTATTATTGATGTTCAGGTCAACTTCAACTCCACTGAAAATATTGATTGGTTGAAAAAACAAAAATACATTTAAACATCATATTAGTTTCCCAGTTCTTATCTGTATTCAATTTTATGTTAATACACAAGGTAACAAAAGAAAAGAATTAAAACATAAAAAAAATACTCCAAGATGCAAACCATTATATTTAATATACTAGCAAAGGCCTGCAAAACATTTGCAGTCATATTAGTATCTTTATTGCAATAGTACTTCTTTAAATACAGGATTTCTAGAATAATACACAAGATTTCTAATTGCAGACACTGAAATCTATAAGTCCACTTGCCGCAGACCTAACACTAGTCAAGCCTTTATTAGCTATGACCTATATTTGATAAAAAAATTAATTAACATTGTAATTTGTGTAAATTTTTTACTTTAGTTTAGTTAGGGCTAATCTTTACCATACTTAATACTATCAATAAATAAAATTATAGTGTTATTCTATGACCTAACATTAGACTTTTTTTAAAATTTTGATAAGCTTTTAATACATTGTTGTAGAAAATGTCTACTAAGGTATATTTACATCCGCCCTTTTATTTACATCCACTAAAATGAAGTTCGCAGGAATGCATATTTAGATAGTAACATGTGCATGCATTTTCTGGACAGACCAAAACTGAGTATTATTATAATAGATATATCTATTTATTAGTTGTGTGCCTTAACCTTATCCATATTATTATTTAGAGAGCACACGTCAATTTATGCAAAAATGAAGAATGTGAACAGAAAATAGTATAAAGAATAATTACATGACATTAATAAATTTCACAACAGTTAATAACAAACCCGACTTGACAATATATTGAAAGTTTTTTTTGTTTTTTTAAAGGATATCAAGGTTTCACTGTATGCTTACATAATATGCATCTCAGTTTTAAATTTTGCCCCTCTAGTGCCAGACTGAGTAGTTTCTGGGTTGATCTCCAAGATACTTATATTTTACTCTCAGCTATAAAGTATTCTTCATCTACAATATCTCCCTTTTTGACATCCACTTGTTAATGGCTGTCCAACAACTTTTTTTTTATAAATGATTTATACAAATTTATTAAAAATTCATTATCTTTATTGGAAGAAGTACATCTCTTCCTTTAGTTAGAAGAAAAAGATACTTGTTTTAAACTTTTCTTAATTAGTCTTAAATACATGCAGTTTACAGAATCTTTGGCTTACAAGTAGATAGATAGAATTAACTAATTAATCTATTACTATAATTTTCAATTTGACCAATAGTATCTATGTAAATCAGATAAAACAAAAGGAATTTATTCCTAATTTTCTTACTCAGATCTTAAATTCAAAGGGTGATATAACTTGACATACCTTATTCTGTCGGTGAATTTCAGTATAGGCACTTTTGCTTTTATGACTTGAGGTTTTTTAATAAAATCTATCAACACAGAAAAAGTACTTATTATCCAAAATGTAAAAGACATTTAACATATAAGCTTGTTTGGTGTTCTCCTTATTATGTCAGCAAACTTCAGTACAGCAGAGGTCACATAAATGCAAAAAATTCTGCTTATACACAAAAAATGATACACTATGTTCAATGTGTAGGCTTTTGTTTTGTTACCCATGTTTCTGCTGGACATAATGATAGCAGTTCTTTCACTTCACAACTTACAGTCATTGTTACAACAATGAGCACTTTGCTCATTTAAATGTAACATGTGTGTCATACTTTGTTATTAATTTTTCATTAATACAAATGAACAATAAAAATTCAAAAATAAAATTGTAGCTGGTAAAGTATATGAAATCCAACTTAACGTGTGTGTCTATTAAAGAACATTATGGAAGAGATGAGTATTAAATCAGGCTTATACATAATTTATATTTCTGTAGGACTATATTTATTACACACATTTCAATTTTTTTTCTTATAACTAGAAGCCTACAGAAGTCCAGACTAGTTTCGTGAATGTACCTAGAATAAACAAACAGACCAGGAAGGGAGAATTTCCAGTCTCAACAACTTGTCATAATTTGCAAAAGTACGAGATGTAGTTTTTTATCCTTAATTAGGACTTGTGAATTTAAAGAATATTCATGTCATTAGAACTGACTCATATTTACCATTTTTAAACATCTAAAAATTTCTGTTGAACTTTATTTTACCAAGTAGTAACCTTGACACTCCACAGATCACACTTGAGACCAACAACACACTTAAAGCAAGTTATATATATTCTTTGTTATCTTTATGAAAATCACACTTACAGAAAACAAATTTCAAAACTTTGTCACAAGCAGAAAGATCAAAATTAAAATGTTATGAAATACACCCAATTTTAACATCATTACTTTTTAAATTAAAAATTAAGCAACAGATCATATTCATAGAACATCATATATTTGCAGCTTCTACTTCTTATAAAGCAAGTGCACATGCAAATACTTACGGTGATCTCTAATTTTTCTTAAAATTTGCATCAGTATACACAAGGTATCAGTCTGTTCAACCTATGAGTAAAATCAAAAGGAGTATTTGTCCAAAGTATGAAAATATAAATACATAATGCAACAAAACCTATTCAATAACCAGGCCAAAACTATATTTTCAAACAATACCAGTAACAAAAAGGTTTATTATATGAAATGTAGTAATAGCATTCATTTTTTTGTATTATTTTAACCTTTTCCAGTTTAATGTAGTACGTTCAGTGCTTTGTGACCCATATCAGTGCTGCTGTTCATCTACAAGCAAGTCTGCATTACATTGTTAAAAAAATGTTTAATGGTAGTAAATACAAATATCTTTTTCAACAATTCAGCCTTATTTAATTAATTAAAATTTGAATGTTATGCTAATCCAACTGAATAAATGAAAGTTTATCAGACAAAAATAAATGTAATTTTAATTATGGCTCAGGATTTTATTTTCCAATTAAGTCTGTAAGCAATCTACATCATCATGACCTTTTCAAAATGTTGACAAAACAGAAATTTAAACATTTTCAGCCTTGAAATAAATCAAATCCAACTTGTACAATAATTTGTGAATTGAGTTATATCAGGTGATCTAAAATACATGCCCTTACTGTGACAAGTAAAGTAATTTCTCTCTTTTTTTTTTTTTTTTTGTATTACAATAACTGGCTGAAATGGCAGGAACTTTTGAAAGTGATCCATACTGTGGAAATCCTGGATTAAATTAATGGAAGGATGCAAGAGAATTTAATTTCAGATGTCCTGGATGGGAAGTTCTTTTTATATTGATATCTCAGCAAATCAAAGAGGTAGGAGGTTCTTATTTGTCATAACTTGTCAATATCTCCAATTTGAGTTAACCACTGTATATGTGTGGTAGGTGTAATAAATTATAAATGGAGCAATAACACAATAGGAAGTGCTATGTGACACACAAAAAGTAATATTTAGTTTTCTTTCTTTATATTTCCTTTCAAATTAATAAATTAAACGTATTTAATATTAAAACTTGAATTACAATCTATGTTTTGATGTCAGTTCCATTGACATCAGTAATAGTAAAGTTATTTAATAAAATTTTGAAAATAACTAAAATGTCATGACCTGCCCACAATGAAAGGGTTGAAAATTATATTAAGACACTGAAAAACCATATTAACACACAAAAATACTGACAAATCATGAAAAATGTTAAACACTATTTTTTCATAGGCATAAAATAGCATTAACTGATACTTATATTTTCCTTTGAAAAATTTGGTTAGTGAGAAACACAACTAATCATCTCTTTATTTTAAATAAATTATCTTTTTTGATAAGGTGGTGAGGCAGGGCCTTTCAAGTATATTTTAATCGTTTATTGATGATTATAGGTTTAATCTATCTATAAGTGCTCATACACAAAAGAATTACTCCCTTGATTAGATAGCATATGCAAAAATGAGTTTTTTGCAGCATGTGTAGTCATTAATTACAGATATCACAACGAATGGGATGTATTTCTGTGAATGATTAATGAATTTTGTGCTTAGCATAATTTTCATGAGGCATTTGGATAAGCAACATACATGTGTATCTATGACAATAATGCACCAAAACTTCATAACTGATGTTTGTCTGCAAAGTTATCTATAAACAAAAACACTACTTTAAGCAGTCTTCTGTTACAATACATTTCTTGTTTCCAAGACTTAAAGCCTTTTCTAAAAAAATTGGTAAGTGTATAGAACAAATTCAAACAACTTTTGAGAACACACACATCAAATAACAACGTAAACATTTCAAAACTATAACACTATATCACACAAGATTAACATTTCATTGATGTCTCAGTTATTTCTCTTAAATTTTAGATGAAAATTTACTAACACCTTTACAAAATTACTAAATAAAATATATTATTGATATTTTAACACTTTTAAAAAATTACTAAACAAAATACATTATTAATATTTTAAAACTTTTAAAAAAATTACTAAATAAAATACATTATTGATATTTTAGATTACTTTTATGAGGTATAAATATCCTGTAGTCTGACACCAGTCATGATGATTTTGTAAGGTTAGTAGCATGTTTGTCAATGATAGGCTAAACCATCATAATCATGATGAAAATAAAAATGTGTGAGTCGATTGCTAACTTCCAAGTTCAAATGTCAAATTATTTTATTTTGTACATATAAAATTTTGTAATCTACGTGTTATTTTTTTATGGGATTAGAATAATGCTACATTTTATTGATACATGATGTAATAGCTGTGTTTGGGTGAAATATTTTAGACTTCCCACTCAGAACTCAGTGGCCTATTTTTCAGGTGCAACAGAAAAGGGTTAGGAGTTCTGAATGTCGGACTGTTGTGTGGTTACTTTGATTTTGTTATTTACGTAGACAAGATAAGCTGCCCAGATATTTTATGTTTTTACTACTGAGTAAATCACACCATTTTCAATACATCACAGATACAGGCTTATCACATACCCATATATTTTACATCTTGTTATATATTTTGCAGTGAACCTTAGTATTTTTAGTTCTGTAATACTACGGAAGAAGTCACTGCAATGAATATATTTATGTACATATTTGCAAAGTGTAATAATTTAGTTATCATATTAAAAAAGAAGAAAAAAAAGATAGATTGTTAGCATTTCAGTATAGGGTAGGAGTTAATACCTTTCTCGTGTTGACTAGCTTTGAGCTAGTACATTAAAAACAAATTTAACATCATTGATGTAACAAAATACGGCCCAAAATTTTTATCCCCAATATATACTTTCAAAATCCAATAACAACTACATGTGCCTCTATGCTTAGAAAAACTCTTCACTCCAGCTCCCATACTGACTGGTCAGTTAGAGTAGAAAGTGTAGTTTTGCACTGTAGTGTTCTTTTAAACACATATTCACTTCAAGTAAAAACAACTTTAACATCGTTGATATAACAAAAAATATGGTCCAAAAATTTGTGTCCCCAATTGTATGTTCTTCAAAAAAAGTAACTTATTTTTTTGTAACACCTACCATAAGCAAGAAAAAACATAAAGTTACATTTAATACATTAACACAACTAGCGATAATATATTGGTAGTGTTAACATTAGTAGTCCTACAGCTGCAAACCTGTTGTTAACCAAAACTGAATCATCCATGATTAGGGGTAATGTATTTAAAAAGTTGAGAATTTCAGTTACTTGTGTTAGATTTTTACAAGTTGAATGCAACTGTTATGTTGTACTTTCAGAAAATTAACTTGTTCAATATCTAACTTCAGAAACATTAGTAATAAATGAGCTTCACTACTCTGTTCATTTAGCTCAATTGAAATCTGTTAATCAAAAGGCTTCATTTATGTACAGTTTCTATTCATTATTTACACTTTCAGAATTTTAAGTTGTCTACTGTTTATAGGTTCATTGCAATAACTCAGTACCTGGTTATTACAGCTTAAAAATTATGTTGATTTGGATGTTCTTGTATGCAAACTTGTAGGGCTGTGTAATAAAAGGTAGATTTTGACTTTCAAAGGTTTAGAACATATAACCAAGTAAAGATTTGAACCTTTTATTGTGCTAATTTGCATAATTTATCAACGATGTCACCATAACTACTATTTTTTACTTGAATGACAACCCTTCTATCTTACCATACAAAGAAATAAAACATTCACATATAGTTTAAAAATATATTGTTTATGCACATGTATGCAATACACATATAGCTACATACAGTAAGTTTGCATTGAAAAACACCCTATTGTGGTTAGTTAAAGAAACTGCAGCTGACTTAAGCAAAACAAATCTTTACTTAACAGTCACCATTCTAAGTAGGTTAACAATCATAGTCTTTTTACCATAAAATTATTGAGTGACTAAACTCATCTAATAAACATAATTAAAAAAACACAGCAAAAGAGAACAGAGTAATACTACAAGTTTGATTAGAAAATAAATACAGAACTTCATTTTAACAATTTACAAAAGTTTGGAAAGAACTATACAGAGTAAAGTGACTGCAACTGTTTTTTTTTTGTTGCTTTTAAAGCTTAGGCCTTCCTGGCATAAATTAATGTTTCTCAATGTCTTGATGAATATGGGGATAAATAGACCTAATAAGGCCTAAGTCACTGACATTAGGGTTAACTTTAGAATTAGATGCATCCGATAGGCCCAGGCCTTTCAAACTTGATGCATCATCAATATTAGTAATACACTATGCATTATTAGACATATGTACCTTTCACAATATTTTATTGATATCAATAATGACATTTTTAAAACCAAGCCCAATTCCATTTGTAACTTTCCTCTCAACAACCTCGATTAGTGCAAGGCTCATTGTCAATATTTATATTACCATTCAGTTCATGTACTCAAAACATTTAACAGTTAACCTTTGCACCAGCAGACCATGCTTACATGTTTGGAAGAACAACAGTAGCATCAGTTTGGACAACCCATCACATGTAAACACTCCCAGCATTCTGACAACAAGCAGTAAAAATACATCTGTTAACAAAAAAAATAACTGGTAACCAGAATACACTCCTGTTTTTGATTTGTGTTCTAATTGGCTCGTCTGCTGAGATTGGTTTCTGGAAACATTCAAAGTCCTTATAAGTTAATCATTATAATTAAACAAATATACATGGTGTAAATGAATGGAAATTCCCAGCCATGATTCCTAACTTATTAATATTTATCACCTTAGCTTAGCATATGTACAGTACACATAACCTCCCCAACAACAAAAAAGGAACATGAATTTATAAGCAAAATACATGTGTTTAACATGAATGGAACCACAGAACTGTTAGGATGGCAACTGCATTTGGGAATATCATTACCTACAAAATTAACAGAAATGTGTGAAGTTGCAGAAAAAGTTGCAGAAAAATCTGCTACAATGCATGAAATGATTTGGCATCTAGTGTTTTATTAATGTGTGTGTGTTTTTGTTAAAAACTTTTGTTTTAGTAATGGGTATTATACAAATCAAAAAGATCAAATTTTCCATGCAAGTGACATTTAATGTGTGATTACTGTTAAACAGTTTCTGTTTACGAGAGAAAATCAAAATAAACTGCATGAATGCTGTCTGATGAGCCTCTGAATGTTTAGAACTATCTTTAAATTCCTGGCTAGCAAATGAATTCTTGACACAGCCCTACAAACTTGTAAGTGCCTGGTGGTAGCCCCAATATAACCTAAAGTACATTTAGGGCATATATACTCATATAACAGATTTGAAGTTTTAAATATAGGTATTCAATCCTTAAGCCTGAAAAACAGCATAAACAAGAAAAGTGTTGGCTTAACAAATGTTCTTTTTTAATTAAATCAATATATTAAAGAAATATATGTAGATGATAAATTTATTACCTTTAAAGTTGATGAGCATGTAAAAGGTTTTCTGAATTATCTTAATAACAGATATTCTTACATTAAGTTCACAGTTAAACATAAAAAAAACAACTTCTATTCTCACACATCATCATTCATAATAAAAATTAACAGAGTAATGCAGTTCATTTATTACTAATTATAAAAGCATTCATGTTAATATTAAAAACTTGCATTTTATTTTAAAAACTGTATTTACATTAATTCTATTTAATAATGAAATTATTCTACCTCCTCATCTGGAAGCACTAAACACACATCCATGTCACTTTTGTTACTGCCCAGTCCACTCACAGATGATCCAACAACAAATGATTCAAAATCTAAATCTTAAAAAGAAAAAAACAAAACATCAGCATACAGTCATGAATAACTTAACTGAGAAGAATATGGTTGTGAAAATCTGAATAACTAAATGAGTCATCTGCATAAATTAATAGTTGTTGCCCAGATCATTCAGACTTGGTAGCTGGTGGCCTTTTTGACAGGTGAGGCACATGCTACACAAGGCTATAATTTCAATCAACTGCAATCAACTTATGCTAAATCCAACTTGTCTCTACAGAGCTTGTTATTCACTTCCTAATTAGTCCTTACATATTAAGTCATAATTCAAGCTTTTTTAGCAATTAATTAATGTTTTAGTATACTGTCACAGATAACTATAATTAAAACATAATCAATAATAAAAAAATTACGTTTGGTTTAAGTGGTTAGGTTAGAAATATGTACACTGAAATTCTATAGTGTCTTGCCTGATAAGTTGCCACTGCATTCAAAACAACAACAAACAAGAATAAAACACAACATTAGCATAGCTATGAATAAGTACAATGGGTAGAATAAAGCTGTAAAATTCAGATTGAAAAATGTATTTTAATCATTATGATCTGCATAAAGATAGACTAATAACCTATTATATGTACAGAGATAAGTAAGTATATGACATATATGTATATGAATAATTAAATTACCCTACATATACGTGTTTTATGCTTATGCTCTAACTTTGACCAAAACCAAACATTTGTCTCAATGCAAAACACTGGAGAATAAATATGGCTACTTGCAATAAAACCTTTTGCCAGATAAACAAATGTGTTTATTAGGCATAATTCTAGAAAACATTTATATACTCCAAACACTGATACATTTTTAAAATGGTGGCACTTAAGTATTTATATATCACACATCTATAGAACTGAAACAAGGGTCATTCTTATTCTTAGTACATAATCACAAAAATCCCACTAATAATACTCACTTGGCAACTTGTGTTGTAGTAAATTCATAAAATTATCTTTAAGATCCATTTTAATTCTGTATTTTTCCTCAGACTGTTTGTTATTAACAAAATGGTCCCACACTTGTTTGGATAGCTATGAATTATAAATCAAGTGGTTAATATCAATGTTTACAGAAATTCCCAAGCATGTATTCTAAGACAACATCAGAAGTATATCCAATATATCTTTCCCTTAAAAACAGAAAATGTATAAATAAAAAACTTTTAGCTTATTTATAAAAAGCAAATAAGCAACAAATTTTACTGCTAATTTGATTGGGTAAAGAAAAAAAATCAAGTTAATAGGCTTGATTTATAAACAAATCCAAACCTCAACTGCTGGGAACCAACATCCAAATGGCGGTAGAATGAAGGTTCCGAATCGCACTACACATGTGAGTACATGATGTTGATTAGTTCAGCTCCAAGTCCCCCCCACCTGAAGCCTATGTAAATGTACTTGTAGAAGGTATAACCTATGAAGTAGTAACTTTAACTTTGGAATTCATAGATAAAAATGAATAACCAAGCACAACTGTGGTGGTAAAAAGAAATAATAAGTATGAAAAAGTTTATAATTAATGACTAAGTTCAATAACTGGATAAAAATAAAATTCGACTTTGGAATAAGTTACAAATTAGTACTATTGGATATTATAGATTAAACTTAATAAGAGTAAATCTTATGTATTTCAAGGACATAATTACTTGTTTTACTTATACAATTAACGTGAATAAAAATCTGCTTTACCTTATCCCACCTTTTTCCATTTTCAAGTTCTGGATAATGTAAATGATTTGAAATATTTTTTGGTAATGAGAATTTACGCTTAGGACATAAATCCAAGCTTTCATTGTTCCCATAGCTAGTTGATGGAATGGAAGGAACTTCTAAATGCCTTCTGTAAAGTAGAAGAGTACAAGTTTAAAAAATAAATCTGGAATTCATTATTTGGATAATGATTTTTAAAAGAATTTTACCAAATTAGTTATTTACATGTAAATTACTATAAGATATAAACATTTCCTTGAAAATGTATCATACTTGTATGGAAAATATATAACAACTTTTCTAATCTGAAGACTTGAAATATTGTTCAAAAAGTTAAAAAAGTACACGAAAACAGGCAAACATCCAACTGATAAATAACAAGGTGCAGCTACCAGATGTATACATATGTCTGTGTGATTGAAATAATGCTGAGAAGAAAAAAAAATGGACTACACAATTTACAAAAACATGACAAATTTGAAATCAACCCTTCCACTGCAGCTGGGACGTATATTTCCCAGAGCTCCCACCTCCTCACGCTCCAACTGGGACAAATGTTTCCCCTTTTTCATTCAAAATTGCTGCACAGGATGTATGGGAGTAAAAGAGTTGGAAAGTATTTATTGGCATCTCACCTGATGTTGATACATTATTTCCCTCAATGTTTTTCACTCAGCCCTTCAGTAATCAACAAGATGCTGAAGCAGAATGTACAACAACTGCATGCCAACCATGCCTGCATCACTAGAGTGGCGAGTAGTAACCCTAATTACTATGTAAATATGTTTGATGCACTTGACTCAAATAGTGAAAGTGAGTCAAGTGGTGATGAAGATGATGATGATGAAGAGGCAATGAGACAAGATGAAGCTAGCTCTCCATCTAGTGGTGATAATCAAGATGATCAGCCTCGACTCAGCAGAGAAAGGCGTAAACAGTGTCGACAATGTCCCAGTCGCAGTGTAAGGTGGTGGGTGCACTGGGAATTATTCATCCCAGCCACAGTGAATGGGTTAATAATCTTAAATTTAGAGATTCTCACGTGCAGAAAAACTAAACCATTAGTATTTTATAGAAATATTAAGTAGAAGAGTACAAGTGTGGTTATGTTCCATCATTATTAAATCCCATTTTTAATGGTAGAGTCAATATGAAATGAAACTTACAAATGTCACAATAATGTTATTCATTCTATGTATACATTACAGGACAAAAACAATACTATAAAATAACCTGATCTTATTTTTGATATCCTTAACATAATAAAAATCATTTGATGATAGCTTCTTTTTAAGAATTTTTTTTTCCTGACTATACACTTAGTCAACAAACCAAAATTTATTCAAACTCACAACTTCTTAATATATGTACAAATGTAAGCTATACAAGATCATACAGTAATACCCTTCCATGTCAAAAATATCTGAACATGTATTCATAAAGGAGAAGGTCTCATATATAATACACCTATGGTGTAGACCAGTGGTCGGCAACCTATGACCCGCGGCAATAATTTGGTTTATTTTA